TAAAATATGATGGTGAACATAACGAGGTTGTTTTACTGTGGGTTCCAGGTCACTCTGGTGTACCTGGTTATGAGACATCTGATCATTTGGCCAGAGTTGGCTTAGACCAGGCATTCGTTGGTCGGCAACTAGTTTTAGCACTCCCACCTTCGGCAATCGAAGCCACCACCAGAAACTGGGTGAATACTTCGCTCAGAAACGACTGAGAGGTATCGAGGGGAGGCAGGTGGGCAAAACTCATGTTGCCTTCAATCTCACAAGGTCTATCTAATTGTTTGCTCTCACTGAGCACACGACACTGCAGACAACTTGCTGGACTGCTGTCTGGTCACTTCATGTAGCACAAACACCTGACTGTGTGACAAGTCCATTTGTCCATCTTGCCTTGAAGAAGATGAGACGGTGGAACACTTTTTGTGGTTCTTGCTTGCTTGGTTATTTGTCATCGATTTTTTTAAACTCGTTCTTTTCTCTATTGTCAGTTTCTGAAAAGTTTGGCGTAAAAAGCTTAGCCGTTTTGATGTATTAAAGCAGTGTGATCCCAGTGTGTGTATACAAAATGCCAAATTTAGATTTGTCCACGTTTGCGCATTTGGATAGCGATGTACAAATGGTATGTTTTGCGATCAGACGATTTGGCTGCCAAAGATCCAAATGATTTGGCTCACATTTGCGCACAGCAGTAAAGTGACAAATATTGTCCACATTCATTCACACGATTTAACCATTTGGTCATTTGCATTTATGATTTCGTGAGATTTGAAGTGAAATAAACAAAAGTAATATATACGCACAGGTACTCGGAGTTTTGAATACACCCTCAAAATCTGGGCTGAAGGTAAAAAACGCGTTGAAGCATATACTTGCTCGTAACTTTATTTCTGTTTGCCCGATGAAAAATTATTACATATGCCTTTTAAGAGAAAACATTTCGTTGTTTACAACCATTTATAAATGGTTAATTTGTCTTGAGAATGGGCACCCTATGTATGTATACTAGTAAACAAAATAGTCGGACAAGTCGTAATTTAAAACGAAAAAATTTTAAAAATTAAAATTTTGCATATACTCTGTAAGATTCCTTTCAGTGATCGGACTTCTACCACATTGTTGTAGATCTGCCACTTTTTTGAGCATCTACCACAGCTATCACACAAGGTCTGAAATCTACCACATATTCGCGTTTTTGAGTAGTTTTATTTTTGCTCAACATAATTTTCTTTATTTTAAGAGCAAAAATTGTCCAACACTAAACACTAACAACAGGCAGAATGGGAGGTTAAAATAAACTGTAAAATAGTAAATTTTCTCAATATTCAATTTTTCGACATCAAACGTGGTTTTATTGTGTTAAATTGCAAAATATATGATTTATAAAAAGAATTAATAGCAAAATGATAAAAACCGGCGATTTTTGTGAAAGTATTAGCACATTTCAGCGCATCTCAATTGTCAAAATCGGCAAATCCCAAGTAGCATTTCTGGAACGAGCCACATTTGTTCCCTACATCGTGATGTGATAAAAAGAAAAGTTGGCAGCCCTCCGCAAGGTTGCAGAAATCTTTCAAAATATGTTCTAAACTGTCAAGGAAAAAAATGCCAAAACTCAACGCAATTTTTATCAACTTCAATCTTGCACTTTATTATACTAAAAGTAATTTTGTTTTAGATTCTAATTAAAATGTTTGCAATTTAGGTGAAACCTTGCAGATTTTTTTTAATTTTTGTACAAAGTTTGATCCAAAGCCTGAGGTCTACCACATTTTTTTGAAATCTACCACATTTTTTCCAGATTCTACCACATAAATTTTTTTTAAAGTCCGATCACTGATTCCTTTGCCATTTCTTAAAATAAATTATCAATTTAAACATTGTTGTAAGTAGTGAAATGTCTTATCTTGAATCACATACATATATACGTATTTTTCACCGGGTAAACAGAAATAAAGTTGCGAGCAAGTGCGTCACCCTTTGAAAAACGCAGTTTTTGACCTTAAGCCCAGATTTTGAGGGTGTATTTAAAATTCTAAGTATGCAGGTTTTACTGCTTGAATAGACCTACAACAAGTGTGAACCTCGAAAAAACTATATAAATATTTTTTTTTGTCCCACAGTGTAATTTAGATCGTCTTTAATAATCTGTATATCGTAGTTTAAAGTACAAGACCGCGTATAAACAAAATGCAAAGCCGCCTATGTGTGGTTGCGTAAATTATTATCTAGATAGTAAAAACTCATATGTCAAAATGGTTCTCTTTTTTATAAAGCAATCGCATTTCTGGATAATATATTTCAGGACGAATGGATAGGATTGAGCCAACAGCTTCTGTAAGCAAATCCAATTTTTTGCAGCAAATGTCTGTTACGTGATTTTGACGATACGCGTTTTTTTACTTTATACGACGATATGCATGTATGTATATGTGTGTAGCCAGCAAAAACTGCGGAAAGAGATCCGAAAACTGAAAGAGAGGTGAATAGAAAAGTACCACGAAGGGTTGTGCAACGAATTATTTTCCAGTTGGTTTTCTGAAATTTTTCATTCTGAACTTCACATATGCTTTTTCATAGTTAATTGTACTCAGAAATTAATTATACTTTTATAAATACTTTTTAATATGTTCGTCTGCCGGCATAAGAACCTGGGACCTCATGAAAGCTTACAAATAGCCGCACGCTTCTCTGCACATAGTAGCTGAATACGTATGTATATGTACATGTTTTCAAATGTTCAGTTTGAGCAAATGTTTCCAAATTATTGTTTTCAAATAACATGATATTTTTCGGTAGTTTCCGGATACGAATATTTTATTAAATATTAAAATTTTACTAAAATTGTAAAATACAAATGTTCACAAGCACGAAATGCCAATACCGCTCACATTATTTTTATATTTGTCACTGGCATTTGTCATCAAGTGGCAAATCAGATATTTTGCGTAATTTTTATTTGGCTTATGTAGCAGCATTGCCGTCACACGATTTGGCCACCAGGGTTGTTTTTCATTTGCCACAAGAAGGCAAATATTAGGCTTATCTGATAAATGACAAATGTAATTTAGCGTTCACATGATTTGTCTATGAATTTGACAAATTTTTAGCCAAATGTACAAATCGTGTGATCCCTGCTTTAGTTTTGTGTTTTAAAAATGAGATAAATATTTTTCGCCTCACTTTAAAGCCCGGAATAAAAATGATGCCAATAACAGAAATAAACTATTTTACATACATTCCACGTGCAAAGTCATAAGTGAATCGAACATTTGATGAGTTTATGATGAAGATAATGTAAAGAACGCTAGCGCTCGCAGTGCTCTTAAAAAATATAACTCTTCCGAGTGAGAGAGTATTTTGATGGATTTACGAGCTCTATTTTTTAAAACCTACAAGTGTGTAATCACATTATTTTTATAAATAGAACACAAGAAAATATTTTACTTTTATTTTAGCCACTCTGACTTTGGTTTTTGAATTCACCCGCGATGCAAATTTACATTGTTAGATCTAATTTTCACATTTAATTTTTTTACGAGCTTTGGGAATATTTAGAAATGTATCAGCAGGGGGTTCACCGAAACCAGTAAATTTTTGAAAGGGGTCTACGAGAAAAAAAGTTTGGGAACCTCTGCATTAAACAGACAACATAAATTGAATTACACGGTGCTACAAAAAAAGTCATAAAATGCACACGAAACAAAATCTAGTTTAGGTTGTATGTTTGGTCGAGTACAACATGAAAATAGGTCCCGTATAGTTCCTGAACCCTCCATTTTTTATACCAAAAAAAACGTTATGTGCTTGGTACACTTATCTATTTATTGCTTGACAATTTTCTATCCGATTTTCGAACAAGTTTTTAAAAGAGGATTTATAGAACTGTAAAACGATGTATAACAATATATTGTTAGACTTAACTTATTGGAAGTTTTCATCGGTTCAATTTTATTTTTCATACTTTTTTTCAACTTTGATCATCGCTAATTTCAAAAATTTCTATGAAAGTAGCCAAATATGTGGTATTTATCTTAAAGAACATTTATTTTCGAATAAATTGATACCTAACGCAATGGTATAAAAATTGTCGAAGTTAAGCAATTTAAGCTAAAATACGGTCTTGAATATATATGCGTGTAACTCAAGGCTAGGTAGATTTCAGGGGGAGTAATTTTTGTCCGATTTCAAGAATATTAAGCAAGCTGCTTAAGGAGGGCAGGCACAATGTGTATATCAAGATCGGTCAAGTAGTATTTGATATACGCATATTTGATAGAAGTGGGCAGTGCCACGCCCATTTTACTAAAATTATATGAAAAATAAATTTTTTGCTTAAGAGCTATTGTATAATTCTGAGTAAATATTGATGAACTCCTAAGCGACACAGCTCAAAAAATCTGAAAGTCCGGTACATACATACACGGATATACATACATAAATTCAAGGCCGTGTTTAGCTTTAATTGCTTAACTTCGAAAATTTTTACACCACTGCATTAGGTGAGGTGTCAATTTATTCGAAAATCAATCTTATTTTAGATAAAAACCACATGTTAGGCAAGTATCATAGAAAGTTTTGAAATAAGCGATGATCAAAGTTGAAAAAATTAAGTAAAATAGGGGCTCATTAAAATTTAATCGAAGAAAACTTCCAACAAGCTAAGTCAAAAATTATTGTTATACATCGTTCTGAAGGTCAATTAATCTTCTTTTAAAAACTTGTCCGATTCTTAAAATCGGATGGAAAATAGTCAAGCTATTAATAGATGAGTGCATAAAGTACGAAAATAACAGTTTTTTGGTATAAAAAAATGGAGGGTTCAGGAATTATGCGGGCCTTATTTTCATGTTGTACCCGACCATACCTACAACCCACACTAGATTTTGTTTCAAGTGTATTTCCTGACCCTTTTTTGTAGCACCCTGTTATTTAATATACATTTGAACGTACTTATCTATGCAAATGATAATGTGACTGAAATTCGAATTTGATTTATTTTTCCACAGATTAGTTCACTTAAATAGCAGTACAAGTTTACAAATTCAAATTCGATATGAAGTTAGCACAATCCTGGATACTCTTCTCGTATTTAATGAGGACTTCCACAGGCCTTTAGCCACGATTTCCCTGCCTGAGATTCCCGTTAAAACTTTAAATCAAATCATATCATCAAATCAATATCTAATGCTACCAAGACTCTCATCGCAACAAGTTATGGAAGGTAAGTAAAAAAAACTTTGAGATTTTTCGGTATGCCATTGAGCTACATACTAGGGGCCAAATTTTTTCGGCCCGGCCCGCCACGAGGGAGGTACACATATTCGAAAACACACATGGACTTCTACGAAATATATATTTTTTTGGTCTTTTATACAAGAAAAGTTTAATAATAAATTTCTCGTTCAGAAAATTAAATACATATACTTATCATAATTTTCTTATAGGCGCCATAGACGGAGGTGCGTCTGACTCGCAAGTCATTTGTGTACGTGTCGACTCGCCTTTCGACTACACACAACAATTCGAAAACGATCGGAAAACCATTCTTTTTTCGAGTCTTACCTTGGATAACGAATGTGAAATAGGTTAGTATTCGCTTCAAGAACTAGGCCATTCTCCAGCAAAACGGAACCTTCGTTATCCAACGTATTTTTCTTTTGTTATGAATTCGAAATCCAGCCCATTATCGAATTGGAATTTTAATGTGAGAGAGTGATTTTCTTATATTTCCCTCCGAGAATGAGCTGGATTTCATTTTCTCTCTTGTTACTATGGTTTCCATTTTTTTTCGAACCCATCTCGAGTGTATTTCCAATATACTATGAACGTTGGAAAACTAAGATGGTTTATGGGTTGGTTCTCAGTTCGATATTCATATTGGATATCGAATGTCATTTTCGAACGTTCGCCAAAATGTTTATTGGGTATTTATTTTCACAAACACATCCAAACTAACTCGCCAGTCAGACGCACCGTGTATGCCGCTTATTAGAGATTTTCAAAAGTTTTTCCTCCTTTCGAGTCACTACACTTTAATTCAATTCAATTGAATTCATTTATTTATACTCTCGACACTATATATATACTCGACACTAACAGACTTACATACTAAGCAATAGTAAATTGTAAATTAACATAGGAGTACAATGATTTAATAATAGATTTAAATATCGATCCTGTAGCCCGTTTCTGTAACTCTTCTCTACCGATTGTTTCTCTACTGGTAGAGAATATACGTTATTCTCTACTACTCATTAGCAGTAGAGAACAGGGCGGCGAATTTATATCTCAATTCGCCTTGGTAGAGAATTGTTACAGAAACGAGCTACTGGCATTGAAATCTCCATACGTAAATTTTTTCAAACTCCTTAAGTGCTCTAAGGATAGTAGGTGCAAGTGAAAAGTAATCATTCGAGCTCGGATATTTATGCAAGTGATTATTTTTGTTTAACATCACAGAAAGTCCGAATCTGGGTAGATATTCATTATAGGAGGAAGTGAGTTAATTTGTACCTATTATGTGTTTCATATTTGAATATTTTTGTGTATATTTTGCATATTTTCTATAAATAAATTATTATAAGCATGTCACTTTGATGACAGCTCTTGTTAACTCTGCAGTCGACATACTGACCTCCTTCTGCCTGAATAGTGATGCCAAGCTATGCCAGCACAGAACAAATCTAATTTATTTGTGGTATGAAGGCAAGCGCAAGCGATGCTGTGAAAATCTTTTGCAAGTTCGCCTACTAAAGCCCAACACCTCCTTTAAGTACAATTTGAGACTGTCAAAAAAACAATGGCATATCTTAGGGCATCTTCATTAGCCACATTTCTGGCAACAAACCAGTTGTACCTTGACACTGTGGTTCTCTACCCTACCTCACCAGTCGAGGGAGAGGAAGGTGTGTTAGATGACCGATTAAATAAAACCACGTCGTTTCGATAACAATGCCGTACCACGACTGACTTTCGTCAGCTCTTTATTGGTCTTCGTTCCCTATTACTTAGCGGGTTTATATCTTAGTGCGAGAGTGAGACATAATCAACAAGCTATTATAAATAGTTTTGTAACTTAAAGCTAGAGTGTGATGAAATATATACAACTTAATCTAGGTGTTGTTTACAGTAGTAACTAGTGATGACCGATTTATGTTTGTACATATATGTATAATATCGTATATGTACATATATATATAAGATCAACTATAAAAATTACAATGCGTCAATTGCAATGAGATTTTTCATTTATCTTGCGTAAATATGCGTCCAGAAGACCTAGAATATTTGCAAAAATCGAATATCTCGTATCGCTGCAGTGTTTGTGTGGATGTGCGTAGAAGTTCTCTTCATTCCCCTATGTGTAATGGATGATGCAGAGTCAACAAAGCAAAAATTTGTCGCTTCGGGTATCTCTAACTCACGGCAAAAACAACAATTGTTATGTGATGAAACAGGTTTTCGTGATGCGCAAAAACAACCTCAACTATCAGCTCTCATTGTGTCACTAGAACAATGCGGAAAAGCAGAAAGTGATAATAGGCAAACAATCTCTTTGCAAACTGTGTTTGACGAAATTATCGCTCTTAGAACCGATAACGCTAAGTTGCTGGATATGATTGGCACGCTGCTGGTCGACAAGAATCTCTTAACGCAAAGAGTTGAGGTCTTGAGCTCAGAGTTACAATTAATATCGCGTAATCTGCTCACGAATACTAATGAAATCAAAAGTTTTCGTGATAGTGTGAATAATAATAACTCTAATACGCCAGCGCCCATACATAAAAAGAATGTGCACTCTCTATGTACTGATGCCGCAGTTAACATAAATTCCTCGCCCTTTGCTCAACGTACGCCTACTGCTGACCATATTACTTCAGCTGCACCCTCCACCCCTACCGGTGCTGCTTTGCTGCCTTCCGCTGATTCTGTTGTTTTGGCTGCTCCTTCCCCTTCTGCCGCTGCGCTTGGATCGTCTTTTACAAATGCTTCACATACTCTCCCCTTTGTCTCTGCACCCCCGCGTGACTCTCCTGCTATTCGTCACTACGTCTGGCTTTGTTGATGCTGCCGCTAATGTGCCTATGCCATCCACTTTCGCTTCTACGCCATCTGATCGTGTCTCCAATACCCGCACGGATGCACAGTGGGAAATAGTTAAAAACAAAAAGAGCTCGCAAGGTAGTAGTTGGCCTAAATAAAAATTCGGATCTTGATGTTATTGCTACAAAAAAATTGATCCATGTGTCATCATTCAAGCCAACAGTATCTACAGATGACATCATTTCGTATGTGAGCAGGAATTCAAAGATAAATAAAGACTTATTGGAATGCTATAAGCTAGTAAATATTGATGCTGATCTTTCAAAATTAAAGAGAGTTAATTTCAAAGTTGGAGTTCACTTTATGATGTCCTCTTAAATCCATTGCTTTGGCCGGCGGATGTGAAAGTGCGCCCATTCCAATTTTTTCAAAAAGTGCAGAAAAATCGCTCTAACATAAATTGTGAACTGATCCCAACACATTTTGCAAACACACCGCATGCAAGGGGTAAGGGTAATTCCGCTCTAAAAATTTATTATCAAAACGTCTCTGCTATGAGAACTATAACTACGTTCACATATCAATATTATCACAATCAAAGCTCGTTTTTTAATCACCCCGTTTACACAGGCAAATCTCAGATTATTAGCCGTCAAATTTGTTGTGCTTGTTATTCTCACATCTCAAGGAAAAGTTATGTTTCTTCTCTGTGGCACCGTGATCACGTTTTTATGCTATCATAGGCAATATAAATATATTTTAAGTTAACATTTTATTAAAAATATCTTTACAAACCTCTTTTCCTTGCTAGCGTACATTTTTGTTTACTTTTACATTTGGCATTTCACCTCTTTTTTGCAAAGACAATCGATAAAACTAGGATGGACACCGAAAAGTTATCGGTTTAATCTGAGATTATTTTATAATTACAGATTAACAAGGGACGAATTTTATATGGCTAATCTCTTGTTATAATTACAGATTAGGGTGTTAAGCTCGAAAATTCGGATAATCTACTTATATGTGAACCTAGTATAAGCTGAAGGCTGTTACTCTGTTCATAGCTCAATGCGATTACGATATAATTGTAATTGTCGAGACTTGGCTAAATGCTGACATATTCGACGCCGAAGTATGTGACCTGAAACTTTATAATTTATACCGGAAAGACAGAGATCCAATCAAAACAGGAAACGCTAGAGGTGGTGGGGTTATTAGTGCTGTCAATCGTACACTAAGCTCCGATCTTATTGCTCTCCAAAATGAGGACTCACTTCTGGATCAACTATGTATCACGGTTAGAAGTGATGTGGGCTTGCTTTACATTTGTGTATCATATGTATATTCCACCACTCAGTTCTGATGAATTATATTATGCACACATCGATAATATAACTACTCTTGCGCAGAGCTCCGTTGGTGACAACCACTTATGCGTTTTGGGCGACTTCGATTTATCACAGGTTTATTGGTCATATATAATTGATGTTAGTTTTTTGACCCCTGGCAACGTAAATAAATCTTATGAAATTTATGTCATAGATAGTCTCTATGGTCTCGAGCTGGCCCAAATTAACTACTATAAGAACAAAATCTCACGAATGTTAGATCTTATCTTTGTAAGTAATAACTTTGAGTTCAGCCTGTCTGTGTGTCTTTCCAGTTTCTGAATCAAGCATGCACCATGTTCCTTTAATCCTAAAGATAAATTCTAGATAAATTTTTATAAATTTCTTTCTAGCCCTTCAGCAGAGTGCAACTTAGACTTTAATTTTAATTTGTGTGATCCAGTTCACTTAAATAATTTGCTATGTGATATTAATTGGGAGGACCTATTCATGCTGGTTGATACCTGAACTTGTTATGAAATCTTTCTAACTGAAGTATTGAAGATATTTAAAGAAAATATTCCGATCCGGCTAAATAAAGTTTATAAGTTGCCTTGGTATACCAAGGGACTCAAAAAATTGAAAAATTTAAGGAATAAGTTATGTAAAATGTATAAAACCACTAATCATGTCGAAGCATATAGAAAATATTTGCAGTATATGAATGAGTTTAACTGCCTTAATAAGTTACTTTACAAACAATCCATCTTACAATGTGAAAGTCAGTGTTGCCAACTTTTGAATTTCAAAAAGCACCAAACCTTGGAAAAAAGAGCGTTTTACCGCACTA